TTTTTTTTTTTTTTTTTTTTTATGTATGTACCGCATAACTTTGGACCGCGTCAACCGATTTCAATAATTCTTTTTGCATCGGAAAGGTAGTGTCTCAGAGGTGGTCCCATACTAATCTGGTTAAGATGCGATCAGCGGATCATGAGATATATATATATATATATATATTTTTTTTATATGGGAGTTGAAGTCGGTTTTTTTTTTTGCTAAAAATTACTAGTTATAAATTTCGCTAACTAAAATCGGATAACTCAACAAAACTCGATAACTCAACTAATTTTTATAAATGTCGATAACTGTGGGTTTCGGGCGATCGACATATTTCGATAACTCAAAAATGTATATATCTCCATATAAATCGATAACTCAATAAACTTTGGATACGTCTATAAATTTCGATAACTCCGTTTATTTTAATGGGTTCATATTTTCGAAAGCTATCTACAAGTCTCGATAACTTGTTTCACTCTGGTAACACAATAAAGTTCGATAAGCAGTCATAACTCTATAAACTTATAAAACCTTGAAATTTCGATGACTCGATATATTTTGAAAATTTTAAAAACTTCGATTCGATCGTTCGACGAATTTCAGTTAATCAATAAATATTGATAACTCGAGAAGTTTAAAGAACTGTGTGCTTCATGATAACTCGATTAATTTCGTTAACTCTATATTTAATGATGATGCAATAAATATCCATAACTTAATAAATTTCATTAACTTGACAAATTTCAATAATCGCACAAATTTTTATAGCTAGATGACTATCCGTAAATTTCAAGAACTAATTTTCTGTTTCGACAAATTTCGGCAACTCAGTAAAAATTAATCAATTTCAATAATTCGATATGTTGCGATAACTCAATAAACATGCATAACTCGATAAATTTCGATAACTATAAACTTCGGTGATTCGATAAATTTCGGTAGTTTGTTAGTTTTCGACAAAGAAATTTTTATGACTGAATTTATTTCAATTCCTATCGAAAAATTCAATAAATTTTCTACCCCTGCAGTTACCCTAATTCTAATATATTTTTCATTGCTTTAATTTCTGTTTTTGTCTGAAATCGTTTTTGTTTTGATCGTTATCATTTATTTCTTCATCTTCACATTTATCGTTGTTACAGAGTTGCATTTCAAATAATGAGTAGCACAAAATACGAAAACTATACAAATTGAACAGGTTGCAACAACAACTTTACACGATAATCCTCATCTACAGAAAAATACCTTTCCAATGGTGTTCATGGTTTTGAAAACGGTGCGGTTCAATCGCCAAACGAAGGCGGACAAAATTTATGTTAGCGTATTAATATATAGATAGTTAGTCGAAAATGTGTGTATAAAATACACCCGCTAGGTAAATAAGTATGCGAATGTACGCTTAATAACTTTCATTAACATTAAATACATAAAACGCCACACTTTCCAAAAACGCACTCACCTGAAAGACAGCCCAGAATTTATAGGAACCCTCGGTGATGACAAAATCATAGTAACCCTTCAACGGATCGCCTTTGATGTATCGACCTTCGCCCACATCTGTCGATTTCGTCGCATCACTTGCCTCAGACATTTGACGTTTCTCACGCTTACCCTGAGCATTTTGTCGCGCCACCGCATCACCTTTTGTGCCCACTTTTTTTTTGCCCGCACCGCCACTGCTGCTGCTGCTGCTGCTGCTGCTGCTGCTGCTGGCAACCGGCTCTTCCACTTCACTGCTCATCACTACCGCCAATTCGGTTGTCGTAGTGCTTTTTGTTGTTGTGGTCGTTTTAGGATTCTTAGTCGCTTTGTTATTGGGCCTTACTAGCTTTGCGGCCGTTGTGGCAGCACCAGCACCCTTCACTAAAGCGCCACCACCATTATCAGCGTTTTTGTTGCTGTTGCTGTTGCTGCTGCTATTCCTTTGTGCAAATTTGTCCTTCGCTTCGAATTTGGGCGGTTTTTTCGAATTGATACGCATTTGCTGTGCGGCGATTTGCTGTTGACGACGTTTCGCTGCCTCTTGCTGTTGTTGCTCTTGTTTTTGTCGATGTGTCGCGAGCACATTCCAGGCGGCAGCGAATGCTTGGTAAATGTCCCACATGATTTTGAGGCTTTTCAGCGTAGAGAGTAGTGTATTCTCCGTAGGGGCGGTGGAGGTGTCGAGTGATGGGCGGTTCTGCGTGTCGGCCCCTTGGACCGCCTGCTGTTGCTGTTGTGTTGTGGTCTGTTGTGGGCGGCTTTGCGGTTGTTTTTCTTGTTGTTGCTGTTTCTGTTGCTGGAGTAGCTGCCGTTGCTGCAACTGTTGTTGATATTGTTGCTTTTGTAGTGCTGTTGGCGCACCAGGATACTCGTAATCATCCAATGGACCATCGGTATCATAAGCGGCATAGGGATCACTGGAAAATGAAGAAAGGATATGTCTGTATGTAGGTTTGTTTACACTCAGCCTTTAAATGTATTTTAGCTTAGTCAACCAATAAGGAATGATTTAAATTCAAGACTCTATGCTTAAGCTGAGTGCAGAGCACTGGAAGGCATAGACGTACATATTTTAGTATATTTTTTTTTACGTAGTTCTGGTTCGAAACTATTTTCAAAAGCGCTGAAAGGAATGTACGTGTCTATTTTAAAAATTTAAAAACCAACCAACCTAAATGCGTTTTGGGTTCGAAAGGGAAATAGTCTCAAATATTATCCAACCAATTCCTCCAAATTCGTTAACAAAGCAATTGTTTCAGCAGGCGATTCAAGAGCTACCATAAGGTTTCTTTTAATCTACCAAGCTGAATGTTCATAGCTGCTAGGTAAGCAACGTTAGATGATCACATCGACTACTTTGCGCGAAATTACCGTATGTGGCAGAAACCAAATTTCCTTGTTTCAAAAGTTTTAGACTTTTTTCTGTTTTATATGGTTTTTTAACCGACTTCACAAAAAGGAGAAGGTTATCAATTCGTCGGAATATTTTTTATATTTTTTTATGTATATTACCGCATAACTTTGGACCACGTTAACCGATTTCAATTTCTTTATTTAAAGGAAAGGTGTTATTCCCTCATGGGTGGTGGTCCCATACTAATTTGGTTTGGTGTATGAGAATTAAATTCGGTTTTGTTTTATTTTTGCTTAAAAATTACTTGTACCAAACGATACATACGACAATATCGCCCACAAGAAAAAATCATTGTTACATACAATAAAATGTACACAAAATTTTTAGCGTAACAATAGGGATTTCAGCTGCAACATTGTATCAGGGATGCATTGTAGGGAGTATTTAGGAGAATATACTTATTTGCATCAAAAAGTCAATTTCGAAAAAAATTACGCATACGCTGATTACACCCAAAGGGGCCGTTATATAGTATTTAGATGCCAAAACTTAACTCAAAATACCCAAGTAATTCTTCCGAATTGCCTAAAGAAGGTCAAACCTACCTAAATAACAAAATAATTTTGATCTGCACCGGAAAATGTGTGCCCTGATTTCACCACGAGTTTTGTTCAGCTCATTAATTGTCACTAAAAAAATATGTATTCACTCATAAAACCAAACTTTATACTTCGCAGTAAATATCTCAGTTTTTTTTTACTTCGGCTAGCTTTCCATGCAACACTTTTTGCTCAGTCACACTTTCGAACTTTAGAACCATTTATTCTGTCATTTTCTTGTTGTTATTATTGTTGTGATAGTCCCTCAAACGTTGGCGTCAAGCTCAACCAACGGTAAGCCCAGGAAAATTGCTGTTTCGATGGGCTGGGGCCAGACATCCTGTAGAGAAGTGGTTGGTGTCGTGGTACTCTTACGATGAGGATGCAAGTTCCACCTAGAGCAACAGTCTTTTCGCATGCTCACGTCTGTAGCACTCTACCAGGTACTGCTTGCGGCGCATGATGTTGTGCTCCCTTACTGACAGCATTTGGGCCTCACTATGTAGGTGATGATCTGATGACGGTATCAGAAGGCATCCCGTGGTTTCGTCCACTGTGTTCTATGCGTTCTACTTGCCAACGGCGACCACACGGACTTTTTCTTTGCCCCAAGTGCTGACGGCGAACAATTTGAGGACTTTGTTGCGGCTCTATACTCTTTGGCAATTACGGCTGTGTGTTCTCAGAAATAGAGCAGGCTTTCGCAGTTTCCTCGGAGGATTTTTGGGCATTGATTCGCCGCCGTCGTGAATGCCCAGTATTAGACTGACTTTCTTTCGGTTCTTACCCCTTACACCACTCAGTTTTCATAACTGCCTTAACGAAATCGAATGGCATATTCTCCTTGTTTAAACCGCTCTGCAAGTTCTCGTTTTTATAAATTCTGGGGTTGCCTCCACCAGCGCTCAAAACATAAAGTCCGTCTCTATAAAAAGCCCCATTTGATTTAAATGATACCTTGCAGCAGTGGCGTAGCCAGGGGAGGGTATTGGGTGGATAGATCCCCCCCTTCGCCAACAAAGTACTATTTTTTTACTTTCGATTTAATAACACAATTCCATTTTATTCTTCTGATTTGTAATTTTTTTTATTTCAGACTAATGGCAAATTTATTTTTATAAATATTTGAGATTATCGGTTATTGGATTGTGCATGTAAATATTGAGCTCCGAAAAGCCTATTTAAGACCGTCTGAAAAGCCTAGTGTATTTTCGCACGTTGGGTCGGTCTCCGGTTTCGAACGAAAAATCTACACATTGGTCTACCAGAAATACAAGAGAGTTTAAAGTAATAGTAAATAGAGAGTAATAAACACAATTTTCTCGGTCTGAAATTTCTGTTGTAGAATTCCACTCCCTTTTCTCTCCCGTCCATAAAGAGTCGGAAGGTATGACTGAAGAGCATTCATGATATTTATTAAGACAAATCAAGAATGATATAATGTATTCTCTCCACCGTGAAGACAAACCCTACTTCGAAAAGAGAATACGCAATTTCTTTGAAACCTAAAATTTATAGAAGGGCATCTATAACTTTGCTTGAAGAAATTTCGTAGAGGTCTAAAAGTTTAAATTTGTATTGTAGAGGATTTGCACTAATCACGAAATGGAAGGGAAAACCGTATAAAAGAAGAGGCTTTTAAAAATATGTAAATGTATATATGTATGTAGAGCGTGAAAAAGGCCTTTTAGAATAGAGCCCTTAATTGAGAGCTTTATAAAACCCTTATAAGAGCACAGTCTACGAGCAAAGCCTTATGAAACCTATTGTCCTTCTCACTGAGACAAAAAATATACACACAAGAATACACACGCGCGACGCCTCTAGCTATTGTGGTTCTCACCTTAAAGTTATCGCAGATTTTTTTTCATCCTCCCCCCTTCCCAAAATCTAAGCTTAAGGAGTCTTTTGGAGTTCCTCGTGGGAGGAGCAATGAATCTCTTTGACTGTCTAATTATCTTTGCCTTTCGCCAGTGGGCAGCAATCTGCCTGAATATCCGACACAATATTTATTCTGGCCCTATTTGTCATTCTACGAAGACATTCGCGAACACAGACATCGATTTCAAAGACGACCACCTGGAATATGGCTGGGCATCAGCCCATTAGCAGACTTTTCTTGAATCTTGGTCCAAGTACGCCATAAAGTATACATATGTATATGGTTGTCATCTTGTATATTGGCAATAGTAAGGATATACGTTTGTCCTTACGAATGAGAGGGTCAATTCTCGTTCTGCATTATTGTGAAGTGATAAAAAATAACACTTTCACACCGTACTTATTTCGGTGTGAATTTTTGACTACTCACTTCACTTTACGATAACGCAGAACGGGAATTGACCCCCACGTACATATATTTACATGTTTTACGATCGCCGTTACACGAACGCGCCGGGGAAATATTTGTGTAAACAAGGTTGCTAAATTGTTTGGAGATACATATTTTCTATTTTTCGCAAACAACTATTACTCATGGTTAGGTAACCTACCAAAATCCAATTTAGCCTACCAACCTACCAAATGGAAAAAAAAAACTGACCAGTTTTGGTAGGAAAAGCCCATAAGTGGCAACACTGCAACTATAAGCGCAATTTTTCAATAATTTTACTTCCATATTATTAACGAGATGAAATATTTTACCGACTGATATATTTTGAAACCTGCGCACGAAAAGTTACTCATACGCACCGTCATACACAAACGAAAATTATTTTCAAAAGCGCGCTCTCACCACGTCAAAGAGCAGAATAGCAAAAATAAGCCAACATTTTTAAACAAACAGCACTACAAATGACTTCCAAACCACAAATAGCCAAAAGTGCTTGCAACACAAATTAAATGAAGTTTGTGCATTGCGCGCGTTAGGTATGCGCAGCTTGCAATTTGCAAAATTTGCTCGATAAATGTTTTTTGCCTACTTATAGTTGACGCTATATATATATATATTTTTTTTTAATATTTCCATCTTTTGTGAACCGATGATGCTGATGTTGATGTTGTGCTTACGTTTAGCACGATGAACAAACAGCATTGCAAATATTTACGCCAACACAAGCAGCAATCATTAACCGCACCGTTACGCAGCAGAAGAACTGATGAACATATATACCTACAAACATATACACATATGTATGCAGGCGAACGCAAGGACACAAGCATGCTTTAAATAGCTGTCATCTAACTACAAAGCGTGCGGCAAACGAGCATCAGTCACGCGCAACGCCTCCACCAATCAATGGCGGTGCACATACGCACAAGCGCATACATATATGTATGTATGCAGTTATACGCCAGTCGCTGCTATTTGCAAGTTGTAGCATCCACAAAATTCTACAACTAAATCAACGTTTGCCGCAACCATCGCCACCGCGCCACCGCGCCACCGTGCCACCAAAATACACATCAGCACCGCATCCTATGAACAGCAGCAGCAATAGCAACGGCAACAACAACGCGCTGCAGTCATACGCTTGCATGCGCACACTCACACTGCTTCATCTCATCTCATTTGCTCGGCTCGTTGACTCACTTGCTCGCTTACTACTTTGCAAAGTTGGAATTTTATTCACAATAATTCTGCTGCCGCCACTACATTACCAGCATCATTAAGTTGCAACAGCGCGCAAGCAGCTTCAGCGCTTTTGTTTGTGTGCGCTCCGTGTATGTATGTATTGCCCGTATGTGTGGATTTAATATTCGCGCACGCGAGTGTGTTACCCTTGCCTGCATTCGACGTACAACTAATTTTGCTGGTAACGCAGCGACAGTCAGTCTCATCGTCGTCGATGTGCAACGATGCATTGCAAGTTGTATAATGATAATTTTACGCTCTGAGTTTGACAGGGAAATTCAGCATGCCACACTGTCAGTTACTGGTATTTACTGCTGCTACTCCCACCTTTGAGCAGCACAAGTTTTTGTTGGGCGCTACATTAGCTAAGCAGTTGTGAAAAGTGCGAGT